GCCGTTGACTGTAGTGCTTTCGGAGCACAGTTTGGGAACTGCTGCTTTAAAGTGTGACAATAAATCAATTCAATCAAATATTAAAGCTAACAATCAAATATTGTTGCTGCTGATCAAAGATTAGGGATATTTAATGTCTGTAAAGTGGATATAATAGGAATATAAGTTAACAAATACCTATTATACTTTCATTAAAGATATTATAGTTTGTTATAATATTATATTAGAAAAAATAATTAATAAGAATAAAATAGATCAAATATAAAGTGCCAAAATTTTAATCCTTTTTTTAACTATTATTTTAATACCTAATAATATATTGATGTTCATAAATTATTTATTAATATAATGTATAGAATAATCATTGAATTACCTTCTTCATCAACCCATTTCATTGTAAAATCTTGATCAGGTGAAAATCGACAAATAACCATCATTTCGTATCGCAGTTGGTCGACAGTTATTTTTGGATCTATATAGGTAATCATAACTTCCCTACAACAAATATTTTTAATGTTAGTAACTAATTTCTTAATTAATCAAAAAATATATAATTATAAACTAACTTACCCATTGAAAGCCGTTTTTACACGGATTTCAGGCACATCCACAGTAGGCATCCTAAACATTTAAATATACACAGATGATTAAATTGATATAATAATTATAAGAAAGAAAAAATATTAGTAATAATTATTATTATTTATATGAAATATATAGATTAATAATTTATTGTAATCCACCACAAATATTTTATTTATTAGGGCACTATAAAAATATTGTTAGTGAAATAAATGTTCATTCMAATCAATCTGGAGTATTTCAACAATTCTTTATCTTAGACAAAGTGTATGTAACATTTTCAACATTATCAATGTATTATGATTGATATAAATAAAAAATGTTTGTCTGAAATAGTTATATTATTATGTCCCATTGTTCCATTGTACACACTGCATAATACACAGTAGTATAAATTTAATTTAATAATGTATTCAAATGTTTACATTGTTATGTATTTTTATTATTTCTTACATTAAAATATTTTGAGAAATAAAGGGACCGTACAAAAATAAATGTGTATAATAAGTTTAAAATAAAATGATTAATTTATCAAAAAATACCTAAAATGATTGAATTATAATAATTATTTTAGCTAACAGTTAACTCATAAATAATAGATATCTTTTAGATTTTTATTCTATAGGCGCGTGCACATGGGGTATGTAGGGTATGCATCTGCAAACCCTGAAGCTTTTTAAGGGGCAAAAATCAACTTTAGAAAAAAATCTATTTTGTACAAAAAAAATAATTAGTACGCATATTAAAATATTTATAATGAAAACAAATGATTAAAAATGAGGGAAATGATTTCAGAATATCAGACTAACAGCAGTGACAATGTTTGATTCACGATTCACGTATAAAATCATAATAAGGTGATTGTTATGCTTACCACCGTCCGACGTACAAAATAATGAGTTCCCTGGCAACAAAATTATTGGTGATAACGAGTTCATCTGAAGCCGTTTCATTTTTGGATCAGGTGAATAACAAGTAACTAGCAATATCGACAATAATAATCCTAATTCAAAATCGCATTGACTTACTAACATAAAAAAAGTAATAAATAATAATAACATAAGTATTTGAAGGTATTTTGTATTCAGTATAAAAAACAAATTTGTTTTTTTAAATTCGGCTTGCCCAAATTAATATTTATAGTATCAAATGGAATGCAAATAATAATGAATTAATTGGTAGGTAATCAGTTATTTATTATGCTTATTTTTTTTCATTTATCATTTAACTATATAAGTTTAAAAATACTAAGTTAGGTACAAAAAAAAAATATAAAATATGTTTACTACACTAATATTTAATAATGTGCCCTAAGTCAGTTAAGGAACGTAGTGAAGACGCATAATACAGAGTCTAACCGAATTTGGACACTAGTGCCCCAGCTCAGTTAGGGCCAGGTACTAATATCAAATTGAAACATAAAGTTATTAGTTACTAACTACTAAGTATTTGTGAAAGACAACCTTTTTGTATTTTGTTAAAATATTTTTTTAATTAAATAGTAAGATATTTCAATATTTGTGTATTACTGTGTAGGTACTCGTATATAAATTATCAGGATTTTACATGCTTAAATTAACTTCCAGGGCAAACCAATGGCAGCCTTTTGCATACCCTGAAAAAGAGTATTGCACACGCCTATAGATTATTAAGTTATAAATTAAAATAAATATAATGTTTACATTAGCATGATTTTACAGCATCATTTACATATTTTTTTAGTTCTATATGATGTTCTGAAGCATTTATAAATACATACATTTATTTTCTTGGCCTTTTTAATTCTAAAATTAAAATAGAATTACTACTCAAGGCGGAAATTTATAAATCCTCCTAATATATTTCATATACTTCATAAACTAGACCTAAGTACAAATCCACAATGGTACAATATTCTATTAAACTATTAAGAATTATATATTTAATACTTAAATTTTAATTTTAAATAAAATACTAGAAAATGTACCTAATTACTTGAAAATAAAATTTTATTACTGTTGATGACACTATATTATTATATTTTGTTTGAAAAATAATTTCAGCTAAATTTTCAGTATTTCATAAATAAAATATTTAGAAAGCTAAGCAATGAATACTTAATAAATAAAATGATACACTGTTATTATTTTTTTGTCTTACAAACACATAAAATAATAAATTATTCACATTCAACAGAATTCATTTGGTTGAATTTATAAGAATGAAATAATTCAATATCAAATTTAAAAATAATATATCTATTTCTTTCATTAGTTTTATTTTTTAAATATTTCAACTTTGGAATTACTTACAAGTAGGTAAGTTAAATATTAAAATTTAAAAATACTCATTTTACTTTAAAATTAAAATATGGAAATGAAAAAAACGAATAAGATTATAGTTAATACAGTCTTACACTTAAATCAACAATAAATCCAACTAGGTTCAGCTAATCATACACTTGCTATGTTACACATTTGTAAACCTTTATAACAACATTTTAACATAATAAAAATAATAATCTAATATATAACACTAGGATCCAACTTACAAAGTAAAAAAGATATTAAATCTGGTTAGTCCAACCTTTTGTAATTGGTGGGCCAATTTACACATGTATAAACACTAGGATGGCCCCCAAAAGAAAATAATATTTTTATTCATATTTATCGACATGATATTATTGTTATATGAATAAATTGTAATAATATAATATACTACATAAGTTATCATATTAAAAAATACTTATATATTAGTAATACCAAAGTGTTATCTCTTACCACCTTATTTTTTTCTTAACACTTATAACACTAAAAGTATTAAACATATGTATTCTAAGCAAGGCTGGGCATTAACGAGTTAAAAAGTTAAAGTTAAGTTAAAAAGTTAATTTTATCTTAACTAGTTACTTTTGGATATTCATTAACTTAACCATCAACTTATTAAATTTATTTTTTAATTAACTTGAAATTAACAAGTTGATTTTCATTTTATGGAAGAAGTTAAGTTAATTTTTTACACTTCACTATTTCAGTCTATTTCATTTTTATGTCAAAAATATTTACCGTGATTTGTTATTTAAAATTTTTATATTTTTCCAATCACTCTGTATTATAAAGGAACACCCTTTATAGTGTATAAACCAGAAAATATAATAGAATAAAAGATTTTATATTATTAAATTAATTATATCAAGTAACAAATAATATAGTTCCTTTATGACTATATGGTATTATGGCTATACCTATATGGATATATTATTGTTATCGACGAGTGACGACTGAAGTCGTCATTTCGGGAAAAAATCCAACAAGTCTAAAACTCTAAAAATAAACAAAATCCAATTCATCATTTTTAGGTATTTATTATTTATTAGTTTATTAGTTATTATATATATGTAACTACTGTCCTTTTTTTTAGAAATGAAAATTTCAATGAAATACAATAATATACTGTATAAAGTATAAACATTTGTTCTATAGTTATAGTCCAAAAATTAGTTTTGGGTTCCAGGGTTTGTAAAATAATAAAGTATGCATAAAAAAAATTAAAACTTAATAAAAAGTTTAAAAAAAATGTGTATTAACTTTTAACTTAACTGAGTTAGAAGAAATCATTAACTTTCCCAGCCTTGATTCTAAGGACGGCAAAAATAAGGCTTTGAAGGCTGCATTCAGACCACCCTGTATTAAATGATTTATTACTAAGATAATTGCTTTAGTGGAAGAATAGAATATTTTTTTAACAAAGTTCATTAGTATATGTTTATCACAAAAGTACTTATTAAACATTAATACTATAATATTAAGCAAATAAATATATTTTAAGAAATTCAAAACAAATAATTATAATAGAACAATTTTATTGTAAAGAAAAACTTTTCTTACAAAATATAACAATACATATAAATATTCAATATTCCAATATATAATACATTTTACAAAATGAAGGGTTTAGGATCATTTAAAAAAATCACATCTTAAAGATTTAATTAAGCTTAAAATAAAATCAGTTGAATGATTATTTATAAATTAAAAATATATTATACAATAATATTTTTGAAACAATCTTAATTAGTTTAAATACTATATTTCAAATGAATATCATTTTGTAAGCAATCAAAATATAGTATACAGAATTAAAACTAAAAAAATGTTTTTTTGTAATTGAGTCTTAAAATAGTTTTATTTTTGAATGATTAAAAGTTAATATTAGAATGGCAAAAATATAAAACTTAATTAACTATTTGTTCAAAATCTTTGAATATTAACAATTGACGACTTATCACTGAATAATTATTACAAACTCGATCATAGCATAGTAAAAATTGTGTTATACAAAAATAATGGATTAAAATTCTAACAAAATAAAGAATGCATTTTATTTTATTTAATATTGAAAAGTTTAAAATTATTTAAAAATCTAAACATAATTCGTTTAACTGTCTATGCATTTTTAGTATAAATTTAAAAATAACAATAGGCACTTAATTATAAAATACATCTTTAGGGCATATTAAATTATTTAAAATTTGAGATTTAAATACGGCTATGATATTTCTCTTAAGACAAACATAAAGTGAAAAATCTTGAAATTAAAGTACATACAATGATAACACTTATTATACCCATTATATATAGTATAGGTACAAGATTATTCAAATGTTGTGTTATTAAAGTCTGTCCCATGGGCGGTGAGAGAACTTATCGACTATGAAACATTCTGCATTGCAATATCGCCAATAATATGTTCTACCAAATTCTAATAGAATGTGTGTGGTATATGGTACAATAGGAAGAATATATGGTAACATTGAAGAGGGATATGACATCATAATTGACTGACAAACCTCATTCTATAACAACAACCTAGTATTTTCTATGGTGGGATAAACTGGATAGAGTATTAAAGAGTCAAGTTTACATTGAAACGTTACCATACACTTTATAATGCAAAATGTACATTGGCTTTACATACAAATATTAAGAGACATTTATAGGGACAACAATAAACAACTAACTGCTTGTCTAAGGATTAAATTTACTTCTTTAACAATTTGGTAATACTCACATCAATTAATTACAACAAATACTTATATTTACTAATTAATGGGCAAGTTGGGTAATCAAAGATGCACACATTTCAAAAAACTCCATTGTATGATGCCCTACACATTTTTTTTGTGGTTGTACAACATCTTGTCTTGGAGATTGATTTTCAATTTCTAAAGTTGGTGCAGGTAAATTTCCATTTTCTAACTGATCATTTGTTAAACTCTTAAAATCTAACAAATAGCTTTTGTAATCCACTTGATACAGTTGCAATGAGATCATGATAAAATTATCAGTTTTTTTGTTCATGTGTCGTACTTGAACATGGTAAGGATTTATTACTCTCCATTCAAAATTCAATGCTTTCATTGCTCTATATACTTCGTTCATAATATCTGTGGGTCTGCTTTGAGATCTTATGCCTAAATGCCATTTAGCTCTTTTCATTGGAGATCCTCTGGCACCTTGATCTATAGATTGAGCACGTTCTCTTTGAGATATAATTCTTTCAGGATGTGGTTTAGCAACTGCATTTAAAGTTGATGGCTCTAGACTTCCTCCTGTTGAAGGTGGACTACTAGCAATATAAAAATCTTTTAACTCTGCTTTAGCTGCTTCATCAGCGATTCGTTTATTATCAATTATTAAATGGTAAGCAATACCTAATTGATCATGAGGATCACCACTTAATAAAGCATTGTGAACTTCAGTGTCTTTAACACTAAATTTTTCACAAACTTCATTAACCGCATCTGTATCAATCACTGAAGAGTCTCGGTCAACTGGTGAAGGGAAAAGATATGCAGGTAGTTCATGTTGAAACCATTCATGTTTTTTAATATCTTCAATAGATGCTCTTTTCATTGGATCTACTTGCAACATATGACATAATAAACTAACAACAGATTTATTTAAATAATCTGGTATAGGAAATATACCAGATTTAATTTTTCGAAATAAAGTTGGCACATGTTCATCATCAAAAGGCAAAGAACCACATAATAATGCATACAAAATAACACCACATGACCAAATATCTACCTCAGGTCCAGCATACAATTTTCCTGAAATAACTTCTGGTGCAGCATAATTAGGTGAACCACAGCTTGTTCTTAAAAATTCCCCATCCATCATCATGTTGGATAACCCAAAATCAGCAATTTTAACGTGTAAATTATGATCTAATAATAAGTTTTCTGGTTTTAAATCTCTATGTACAATCATGTGTCTATGACAATAGTCAACCCCAGATATGATTTGTTGAAAGAAACGACGAGCTTCAAATTCCTTAAGTTTACCATGTTTTACAATATAATCAAATAGTTCTCCACCAGATACATACTCCATTATCATGAATATATCAGTAGGCGTGCTGATAACTTGATACAATTTAATAATGTGAGGATGACGGAAAAGTTTGAGATTTTGAATTTCTCGACGTATTTTTCCAACAACATCCAGACTTTTGATCTTCTGTCTATTGAGTATTTTGACAGCCACTTTGTGTTTGGTGAGCTGATGTTCACCAATTTTCACTTTGCCAAATGTGCCAACACCAAGTGTCTGTCCAAGTATATAATGACCTATTTTGACGATTGGTTGTTGTTGACTGGTGGCAGGTTTAACCTCAGCCATATTTACCGATGTTCCTTCTTTACACCACGATAATGGATATACACAATATTTCACAAACACTGGAAATAAAAAACGACACAGCAGCTACCAAATCGCGATTTCATTCAATTAAAACGTCATGCGTCCAAGGGATAAAACCGTGATAAATTAAGGACCGCGGAAACACAACAATAATTGCATAGGAAATCGGAATATTTTGAAGGCCGATCTCGATCCCACTTATGTTTAGAGAAAAAAAATAAACACATAAACATTACATACACACGCAGACAAGCGCGCGCACGTAAACGCAGTGCCTATGGCTTGTAATCAAATCGATTGTATTATGAACTCGGAACTACCAGCGCGCATAACCTCATTGAGGCGCGGTGAAATTTTACCAAAATAAAATTTTTTTATAAATTACCTGTATCCTGGGGATTAAGCACCAACGGTCACCGAGTCACACTCGGATCACTCGCGACGATCTAAACCGTGGCGAATTTTAATTAAAATCGCAATTTCATTTTTACACACTTCCAAAACAAATCACTAATCGAAGTACAAAAAAAAACAAGAAAAAATGCTTTTTTATCATCTACTGCAGTGTTGTCATGCACTGTTGGTATGCGGTAGACCTGGTCGATGCACTTATACATGGTTTATGGTGTACTGTCGTCGGTATTCATTCATTTCGCGCATGCGTACTTTTGTATGCTGTTGGTAGTGGACTGATAACGTGCTAGATAACGGCGACGACGAGAGACGAGTAAGTGACGATAACATTTTTACTTTTTACGTTTACAATGTATTAATATTAAATTAATTCATTACGAATTACCTTTAATTTTTTTTCGTTTCCCGATCAATCACGAATTTTAATGCGTGTTTACTATTTGCTGAAGACAAAATACTCGTTCACTTCGCTCCTACATTAGTGTATTTTTTACTTATTTAGGTACTTAAGATTACAACGTAGCATTTTAAGGTACGTAATTTTATGCTGTTTTCACCGATATTGCTCAATTTGACCAACTTTTTATGTGGTATTGTTTATACTGTGTTGCGTAGTATTCGAAACGGTTTTTTAAACAACATTCTCATCATTAGATTTCTAAAACCTTGTAAATGTCTCAAACAGATACTGTTACAAGGTTTTCTGTGTATTTTTAATGCACCCAATTTATGTGTAAGCAGACATAATATTAAACTAAGTTTGGTTCATCTTAATAGACTAATTGATCTGTTTCTTATAGTTCATATTATTTCCAATCCTTAAGTTTTTTCTATTCAACTGTCGTTTTTATTTTCCACTGTTGTTACTAGTTTATAATGCATCGTTTTAATTTTTATAAATATAAAATAATATATTATTTATACATTTTATGTATGCTTTATAATATTAATAGCATCATGGCAGTGCGTAGTACTGGACCTCTTTTGTCAAGACTGCGTGACCTGATGAAGTTAAAGTATTTAGGTGAACCCATTCAAGGCTATATTGTTTTATCAGAGGATGCTCATCAAGTAAGTTTCTATTTCTATGACCCTACCAGTGATGTTATTAATTTTTTTTTTTTCAGAATGAGTATATTTCTGCGTGTGATGGACGGCGAGCTTTTATCACTGGTTTTACAGGTTCTGCTGGTGTTGCACTTATTACACAAAATGAGGCACTATTGTGGACGGATGGTCGTTACTTTGTACAAGCCCAACAACAGTTAGATGATAATTGGACTTTAATGAAAATGGGTTTGTGTATATCATATACCTATATTTTTTTAAATAGTCTTATAATTTAGTCATGATTCTAGTAAATTAAAATAATTATGTAGATTATATATAGCAATATTTTTAAAGTTATTTATATTAGTTAAATTGGTTATTATTTTTAATTGGTGAGTAGCACCCTAAATAACTAGAAAAACTAGGTAGTCTTATATAGATCGACAAAAAATGTATTATCATAATGATGTAATAATTAGTGCCTTAGTATTATAATTAGTGAATATAATTATCACCAGTACACTTTAGATACAAATTAAATACCTACTTAAAAATAAAAACATTCAACATAATAAAAAATATAGTTTTACTAAATTGAGCTTTAAGCATACTAATAAATAAAAAGGTTAATTTAAACCCACTTCCTAGTGTTAACTATTTTTTTAAATGTCATAATATTAGTTATTTATTATAACTCTCTTTACTATGAATATACCGAAAAAAAACCACAATTAAAAAATAAACAATAAAATTGTATTATTAATCTTTTTTTTAATATTAATTTATTAATTTAATTGTGTCAATACACCAAGTATTTTTACAATTTTATTATTAATCTTATTATTACCGCTCCAATATTATAAATTATTAATAAAAAAAATAATTATTCTGTAAATCTTTTTAACTTGGTTGTTTTATTCGAATCAGCTATTAATAAACTATTTTTTCATTGTTATTATATTTTTGTTTTGCACTTACTGGATTTAAAATTGACCATTAAGTTTTAATTGTCAAAAATAATGTTTAGGTATCTGAAAATGTCTTTGTAAATATCATAAGTGACAAATGACTTAAAAAATAAAAAGTCGTTTGTTTATACTTTGTATTATAATTTTGTATAGCAAAAAAATATATTAGACAAAGTTATACTTGAAAATGATACTTCTACATTGCCTGTTCATAATAAATAATTTATTATTTTAATAATGAATGTGAAAATAATTTACAATCTATATTATTCAACAATTTTGAAAATAAGTTTAAATGAATAAATTATTTATGTTAAAATTACTAAATATTTATATGTTTCAGGACTACCAGATACAAGTACATTGGCCGAATGGCTAACAAAAAATATGAAAGCTGGCTCTAGAATTGCTGTTGATGCTAATTTAATAACATACAGTGAATGGCGTAGAATCAATAAAGAAATAAAATATAAGGGCATTAACTTGGTTCCATTAGATACCAACCTCATAGATCGTATGTGGTCTGACCGTCCAGCTATACCATCAAATCCAGTCAAACCGTTAAACATTAAATTTACAGGTATTGTGGATTATTTCTTTTTACAATAACAAAAAATAAAATGTTGAAAATTATTATCTTGTTCCAGGGAAAAAATGTGGAGAAAAGGTTGAAGAAGTAAGACAAAAAATGACTGAAAAAAATGCTACTATTTTGTTAGTAACTGCTCTTGATGAAATTGCATGTAAGTGTTAAATATTATATTAATGTATTCATCATTATTCATAAGATTGTTTATTTTTTAAATTAATTATTACTTCAATGTTTGAAATAATATATTATGCCAAAATACAATATATTTTTTAAATTAAATATAAATATATGCATATATATTGTTGTGTAATTCTCCATAATTTGTTTTCAGGGTTATTAAACTTAAGAGGATCTGACATAACATATAATCCAGTGTTTTATTCATATGTTATCGTCACACACACAGATGTCCATTTATTTGTTGATGACAAGAAACTAGATTCAACTGTGCCAGAACATTTTAAATCTGAAAACTTGTCAGTCATTATACAACCTTATGATAAACTGCATACATTTTTTAATGATATTGTTAGTATGATTTTTATTTTTTATTTAAATAATTATATAAAAATAAACTGGTATAATAAAATACTAGATATTATTTATACTTATAAAATTCTACATGTGTGTAATTTTAGTTGGCTTCAGACAACAGTAAAACTGGAAAAGTTTGGGTATCAGACCGATCTAGTTATAACTTGGTTAACATTGTACCAAAATCAAATCGTATTTCTAAACCTACCCCAATTCCACTCATGAAAGCTATTAAAAACTCAGTTGAAATTAATGGTAAATTGAGGTCATTATCAGTTTGATACAATAAATTGATAATATTTTTTTTTTAGGTCTTAAAAATGCCCATATCAAAGATGGTGCTGCATTATGTTCATATTTTGCTTGGTTAGAAGAAAACATATCATTAGGAAATTTGACTGAAATATCAGTTGCTGAAAAGTTACTATCATTTAGAAAGTAATTATTGTTTAAAAATGTCATTCTCATTTAATTTATGTATTATGTTAATATTAGTTATACTTACTAATTAGTGGTGATTATTATTGATTTTAATAGTTTGCAAGAAGATTTTGTGGGTCCCAGTTTTGAAACAATTTCTTCGTCTGGACCAAACTGTGGAATAATTCATTATGCACCAACTCCAGAAACTGATAGAAAATTGAGTGTAGACGAAATGTATTTGTGTGATTCTGGCGGTCAATTTTTGTTAGTAATATAATTTGTTATTATTCAATCATCAAATAGTTGATTTTTTTAATCTTAATATTTAATATATTTTTATTTAAATAGAGATGGGACTACTGATGTTACTCGTACATTTCATTTTGGAACACCAACAGAGTATCAGAAAGAATGTTTTACTAGAGTTTTTAAAGGTCAAGCAAATTTAGCAATGAGCAAGTTTCCTCACAAAATCTTAGTAAATTTTATAATTCTGATTTAAATTTTATATTTATTAAGTTATATTAATATTGTTTTTTACTTCAAGGGCAATTGTTTGGATTCATATGCACGTAGATTTTTATGGGATGTTGGTTTAGATTACATGCATGGTACGGGTCACGGTATTGGTGCTTACTTAAATGTACATGAAGGACCTATGGGAATATCTTGGAGAGAAATACCAAATGACCCTGGCTTACAACCAGGAATGTTTTTATCAAATGGTGATTTTTTGTGTGAAAAATACATATTTCTCTCAAAAATATTTAGCATATGATATGTTAAATTTTAACACGTTAATGCTATGCGGCAGCCGGCATCCATATAAAAATAATTAGGTATTGATAATTTTTAGAACGCCGGCTATCGCACCATATAATTCATAGGAGATTTTTTGTAAATTTTTGTAAATTAATTTGGATTTGTATTATTAACTTTTCTGTGGTACTACAATATTGATCTTAAAAATATGCTGTGGCATAGTGGGAATAACTGCAATTTTTTTGATGTAATAAACATAATTTTAACATTTTTTTTTTGTATTTTTAATTTTTTTTTTTCAAATTCAATAGTTTATATAAAAATACAAATTTTTAAAGACACTAAAAAATGTCCTTGGCGCACCCATGATAAATATTCTTGAGGTTGCCGGCGGACGCATGGCAGTCAACGTGTTAAAAACATTTAAGTATTCATTTTGTACATTTTGTTAAGAGGACGCCACACCCGCATGTGTTGTYTYYGTCRTACAAGTGCGTAGCATAGCAAATTTTACGCTCAGCAAATCTCGTTTATCTCCTTCAATTTAAAATTTAGAGTGAATTGACCTTTTATAAAAATGAAATGCAAGATTATTACC